GAAGGGGTGCGTTACGTATCGCGGTTACGGTAAAATTTATAGCCACTCCTTGGACGCGCCTTTAAAAAGCGGTAAACCGCAAATTAGCCCCACACCAAGAAGCCACTCAAAAGAAAAGTGTTTAGCCGAATTGGGGGTGGACGAGGGGCGATAAGTGGTCGCAAATCTATCTGGGGCTTGTAAAACAAGCCAACCCCGTCCCGATCTCCCCTGTTCCGCTTGTTCTTTTTTATTTCACCCTCGCTGTCCTGTTATATACCCCCCTGAGGGGCCAGGCAACCTCCCGGGTCGTTCACACGCTCTCTCTCTCTCTCCTGGTCTCTCTCGCTCTCTCTCTCTCTCTCTCGCCACCAAACCCAACCCCATCAATCGTATAACCCGGGCGCTGAGAAGGAAAAGCTGCATGTACTCCTCTTATTTTGTACCCTCTAGGGTCATACAAAAACTCCTGGCCCTAAAATCAGTCATGTTCTCTGGAGTCACTCTCAAACCCTGGAACTCGCTCAAAGAAGCAGACGCCTTATTGTTAAAACCCTCTGCATTTTAAAGGGGAAGTCAAAATTCACTGAACCTTATGAATTGCGACGGGCGCATAGGATAACGGTGTGCCGAGGAGCGTAACGTAGTCTAGCCGTGATAATGCCGATTTAGCATTTAATGAGGAATTTAGTTTATAGTGGCAATCAAAAGCTCGAAATTTAAATTCTAAAGGGGAAGCCACTTATCAAAAATTCACCGAAATAGAAAAAACCCCTAGCGCATAGGGTACTCCCGTGTAGAGGAACGTAACGTAGTAATCATGATAACCGGGCGATTCTGGTGTTTCTCAGAAAATGGAATTTATAAAGTCGCTCGGAAAATGTGCAAAAAAGGGACGAACATCCGCATAAACAACATTTTGAAAAATATTATTCTAGCGTGACTCATTTGAGCTGATGGTACCGTACCAGGAAGTGCCTATATTCTCTACCGAGATCGAAAAACGCTTAAAAAATACAGTAGTCTATTTTCAGTAAAATTTAGCCAATCTCAACAGGAAAATCCATCTAAGAAGCTTTGAGAAATTATTGAAATTCGAAATTTCTGTCGAAAAATCGGTGCTTTTCTTTCGTTAGAAAAAATGTGTATCTTTTTGCCTTAAAAAAATGGTAAAAATAGTTTAATTATACATTTGGATACAAAAGATAAAGTAACGAAAATGAATAAGAAAAAAACGCCTTAAAAAATCCCCCAAACGGATTAGAAAAACCCATTTTCCGCACCCGTCCCTCGAACAGAAGCACTCGTAAAAAACGGTCGAATTTTATCACGGAACAGCAGCCCACACGCCCCCCTCCCCTCACGCCGAAGCTGCACTCCCCTATTAACCCGAAAAGGCTGATAAATCTGAAAAAAAGCTGATAAACAATACGAAAAAATCGGGCGCCTTTTTCCGGGCAGTTGGCCCCCCGGCTGGTTGGGGATTAGCCGTTCGCGCGATAAGTCGCACCCGCTTGAAAACGTGCCAATTTTTGGTTCTGGTGAGTTAGCAGGGGGGGGGGGGCTAGTGTGGGAGCTTGAAGAAACGCTAAAAATAAAAATCAGCTTGATTGGGATTTTAACGCTTATTCTAGGTATAGAAAGTTCAAAAAAATTATCACAATTTCAACAAAATTTTGAATCATGAAAAAGCGTGAAACATAAAAATTAGCTTGATAAAGCTTTTCAACACTGTTTTAGGTAAAGAAAGTTCACATAAAATTCGTAAAATTTCAAAAAACTTTGTTTTTCTCGAACTTCCAAAATTTGTCACATTTTCTTGACATTATTTTACGTTATAAGAGAAAATTAATCGAGTAACCAGAAACAATTTAAAAACCCTAGAAAAATACGGTTAATTAAGTATACAAGTGGGAAATGACGCCAAATAGCGCCTGTAAAATCAAGAAGGAAAAACGTTCGGTGGTATTTGGCATGATTCATAGCCTCCTGCAAAATACATAAACATTTCGCGCGCCGGTTAATGGGCCGCGGGGAGAAAAAGAACAGAATTAGAAAAGAGAAAAATCGGGGAACCTAATTTTCTGAACATAATTCTTGAAATTTATGGGTGTTTTGGGTAAATTTAACCATAATTGACGCGGCAGCAAAATATCTAGAAAATTGTGAAACTTTTTGAAATAGAATTTTGTGTATTTTCGATGAAAATTTGTAACGTTTCTACGTTTAGGAATAGTAGGAAAAGTTTAGAAACATTACTATCTATATTCGAAACATTATCTCCTAAGCAAAAAGTTGCCCCCCGATAATGCGAAAGCGCCTGAACAAAGCATACAACATATAAAGTATCTATAACTCGGGGTTCAGACACGAATTAAAAAACATAAACCCCGCCTGGGGTGGGTCTAAAGCCCAAAAGTCCCCTTATCACGCCGAAAGCCTGGCGCAGGGCTGAGAAGTTGCGATCCCCCGCTTTTCCGCGCTTTTTTTGGGAGCGGTGTTCATTGTATCAGAGTGAATTCCCAGACATACCACTTTTACAACCAGTTCCCCCTCAGAATTTTTTGAGATTAAAGGGGCCTGCCGGGGGACGACTAATTTTGGCTGCCAATTTGCGCCAGGATGGTCTGTTAGGGCGCGGGACAAATTTGTGCAAAAGGAGTGCTTCGTATGGATGACCAAAAGTCCTAAAAATTTTTTTAAGTATTTGTTTTTTCCACTTAAAAATTGTTAATTTGGTTAATTTTATTTCTGGCTGAAAAAAATCTAAAAACGCAGAAATTTCTGAAAATTTCGGTCAAAAAACCGACTTTTTTGTTGCTTTTTCTGAGATGAAATTTGATTAAAACACTATTCAAAACTTGCTATTACGTTACTTGGCTTTTACGGACTTATACTACAAAAACTAGGGAGCACCGGATGATGTGAAATCTCTATATATTTCGGTGCGCCCGCGACACTCAACGCGCTAACCCATTACGCAACCTAATTCGTGCGCCGCGTTGCGTGTTGCGGCGCGGAGAAACAAGTAATCCATCTCAAAATATCTAGCCGTACTTTATGAAAAAAAAACTAAATTTAACCAAAGAAATGTAAAATTTCAACGCCTGAACGCCGTTCAAAACATGCGCGCCGAGGCATAATCGGCTTAGCCACCCGAAAATGCATATGCTGATTGGAAAACGGCCGGGCGTGACTTTTCCGTGACAATCCCCCTCGGACGAATGGACCTCGAAAGGATAGAAAAAAGATCGCCGTGTCCTCCGCGCCGGTTTATAATAGAAGTGAGGGGGGACAAGGAGGCAGGATAGCAGAAATCGAAAAAGAAAAAGGGGAAAATGAAATGGCCGGGGTGTTTAGAATGGGTCGGCTGGATGGGAGAATTGAATAGATCGGGGGGAGCACGAAGCGGATAGTTATCAACCGGCAGGTGAGGGCGGGGAGTCCGGTATTATGCGTGAAAGTACGGTGCAGCCGGGTGTGAAATGTTGCTCCAGTGCGGGAGAGAGAGAAACAGTAATAGCACCCGCCATCAGCACCAATTCATGAAAATGCTACTGTCCCCTAAAATATGCGAAAACACGCATAAAAATGATCAATTTGTGGCATTTTCAAAGCTTAATTTCGCGCTCCAGTTATTTCACACGTTTCTTCGCGTCGCGGCTAATATTTTACGCATTTCCTGGTCCTCAAGCTCCCCCTTAAACTATAAAAATTTTAAGGTGAGTAAAAGCATCATTTCGAGCAACCAAAAGTTTCTATAGAAGCTGGGAGCTGGGAGCTGGTAGAATTTTTTAGCGGAGCCGGGAGCTAGAGTAGTAAAGCCGCATTGCTGTTGCGTCGCGGTCAGCTTCTTATATCCCGGCTCAGGCTCGAAAAACTGCCTCAAACTATCGGGTTAAAACGTTTAAAACCCGTTATAAAAACTAGCTAGGAGCTAGGAGCAAGATGCTACCTGATCAACAGCTTAGACGCGTTGCGTAAGTTTTTAATAGATTACCTAATAAGCTCAGCTCGCCTGGTACATTTTAGCTCCAACGCCTCAAACGGCTACATGAACAAATCAAAAAAGGGACGGCAAAAAACGCTGCAAAACCGACTATAGCCGAGTACCGTACCCGGCCCAGCTGCACCTACCACCACTAGATAGTATTTTCCAGGCAGGCGTAAAAAGGGGTGGCTGCTTCTTCTTGCAAGCTTCAGGGTCCAGTCAAGAAAAGTCAAGCCCAGCTGTTGCTCGGCTCACCGCCAAAAAGTGTGTGAGCATGCATCTGTCCGTCTGTCTGTCGTTTGTCCATCCGTGTGTCTCCTACTTGGCCCTTTTGGATGAGGGATGGCGGGCAGGCGTGTGTGGTTTGGTCAGTTGCGTGTGGCTCTAGTGGCCCCCATGGGCCTTTTCTTTATCTTTTTGGCCTTAGCGCCCGGGGGCCCACCTTGTCAAAAAGCTCTGCATGTGGCTCGTGTCGCCAAGATGCGTCCCGGGATAAACGCGGGGGGTTTCTCGTAGTTTATCGGGTACTGGACTGTTAGCAGGGGAGAGCTAATTTTTTGCCATCAATACCACCTGCTGATCAATATATATAATGTAAATATTTTTAAGTTTTTGAAAATTCAAAATTTTCGTCGTTTTTGCTCCTTTTCCATACATTTTTGACCGTGAAGTGGAAAATTTTGACATTTTTCCAGTTTTGATATCCAAAAAACTGGAGCTGTAAAATTGGATAAAAATGGTTTTGTGCAGTTTCTCCCCCCTGCTAAAAGTGCAGTACCGTTTAATCTGCACCCTTTTCAGTTTTGGGTTTGAAAACTGGTTTTTAAAAGGGAATGTCACACGACCACAGTGTAATCACTAAGAATAAAACGAAATCGGCTAACTGAAAAATAACGATGGAAATCGGTAGGATGAAAGTACATCGCCTTCGAACATAATCTTTATTTCAAGAGGAGAATCGGTTTTGTTTGGTTCAGAATTGTGTTCATCCACGCATTGGCCATGCACGTCGATGGCGACGGGCCGATTAGTCCTGGAAACCCAATAAAATACCAGCGAGCGCGTTATACCTCTTTTTTCCGGTCCGGTTTCGGGTAGTTGTCGACGCCTTTTTCGTCGGAGCTCTGCAAAAAAGCACATTACAAACTTTATAGTTTCTAGAAACCTCTTGAAAAAAATTAAAAACCCACCGATGGACGCACATGGGGATAGGGATATCGACGACGTCCGTGTAAACGCTTGCCGGCATACGGGTAGCGCTGCCGGGGCTTTTGGAAGAAGTCCTCGCGCACGTTGATCGCTTTTTGCTGTAAGGGAAGGAGTAGAAAAAATCTAGTTGTTTAATCACCTTCTCGGGCATGTTCTGGATCAGCGTCTCCCGGGCCAACGACTCAAGATGTGAGCCACACAGCCCAAATACGGCCACGCTAAACAGTTTTTAAAGTTTTACCAAAAATGACTCTGCAGAAAAATCAGGCTTGAACCACCCACGTAACCCAAAAGCCGATGCTCAAGTAGACGATCGTGTAGACGATTTCTGGAAGGTTATTAACTTGATTATTTTCGTTTCTTATTTGTATTGGAGCCGCTTGGCGATGCGGAAAAATGCGTAGAAAAGCACGTACTGTCGCTGGTCTCCTTCGACGTCATCTCGTGCGGTACCCACATTTGGCGATGATCTGTGCAATAATGCTAAAAATATATTAATTTATTGCTTGTACGAGGTGCTACGGTCTTTGATGACATTCCCGGTTTGCACGGTTGGCCGTAGTGTACGCACAAGTCTTTCTGCTTGACTGCCTCGCATGAAGGTAACCGGATGCAAAGGCGTAGCTCCTGAAAAATCGTCACTACATAAGACCGGAGGACTTCGAAAAGTGATTGTTTCGATAATTCGTTCTTTCCGAATTTTCACATTCGAAACATCAGGAAAACTATAGATTTCCGGCCGAAAACATTTTGGTTGAAAAAGCTATTTTTTTGGTATTTCTAATAGAAATTTGTAAGTTTTTGCATTTGGTACTGAAAAATGCTTTACTAAAGCTGATCCCCCAGTTAATGTGGAACAACCTTTTGCGATAAACCCCCCAAACGTACAAACGTATCATCCTTGCGCAGCGAAATGGCCGCACTGCAATTGGGGTAGCAGTAGCCCAGCTCACCATCGTCTACTTGATGCTCGTCAGTGCATGGAGGTACCGGGGTGCAGCTGCAAAAAGCCGAACATTCAGAAAAGGCCAAAACAAAACCCATTCCATTCTTCCTTCTTCACACTCCAGTCAGGCGGTGGGCACAGCTTCTTGCAGTAGTCGGCTATTGAGTCATCCTTGGGCAGGCCGGTCTTGCTAAACGGGTTTTTGTTTTCGCCTGGAACACGAAATATCACCCAGTTCCGAAAAAATTCTTTATCTATAATTATCTGAATACGAAAAATTACTCTCTTACTTATTTTTCGCCCACTGTGCGCAACTCACTGCCCTGAAGCTCTAAAAAAGGCGCAAAACGCTTGTTGCCTGTGGAAAAATACCTCATCCACCGGCAACGCAATTGTTTGTTCGGTGAAGGCCGCTATGAAGACGAACAGGACCAGCCTGGTGCAATAATTTGATACTCAACAGAGAACTCGATTTACTTCTACGTAGTAATGAAAAATTAATAACTGCTCTAACCCCCACAAGTCGATTGCTGAACTAGTAACAAAATCCTAGACCGCCTACCACATCACTGAGCGTCAAAGGCCACGAGAGTCGTTTTTCAAATTCTGCACTGCATTTATGATATCTTCCATTTATTCAAAATCCACAGATTCACAATCAGAATTCTCGAGCACCTCCTCGCGAACACCTCCCCGTTTTTGTATGGCCATGGCCAGCTCGGATGACAGATTAGGCAATTCAAAGGTCCTTCGTATCCTCAGATCCTCGCTGTCGGGTACGTGCGGAAGGAGGTCAGCCGTCTCGCGCTGCTCTTCTTCGGCTTCAGATTGTTGTTCCTCTTCGGTAGCCTGGCGCTCAATCTCTTCCGGCTCGACGTTGTAGAAGGCGGCGAGAGCTCTAAATCATTATTTTTTTGCTGCTGGCTGCCGATTTTCACAACAAACGATGAAACACTTTTCAAACTCATTAAAGAAATCCTTTTACAAGGAAATTCGAATCACCTGTTCTCGCGGGTGCGCATTTCCTTCGCGCGATCCACCAGTATCTCGCGCAATTCTCTCAACATTATTTGTCCGGATGCCCGATCCACCGTATCATCAACCTAAAAATTTCGTTGAGCAGAAGATGCACCAACATCTACCTCCTCGAAACCACTACGCCCACTTGGCTCTTCACGTCGCACGACAGCCTCGAACACCTTAAGAAAACATAAATACATGGTCGATATAAAAATACCTCATCCACCGGCTGACTTTGATGAGGCTGATAAGCATACGAGTCTTGTGTTAAACTTTCCCCAAGATCTTCCGTTTCACATTGATCAAATTCCTGAGGCTGAGCATAAGACTTGGCCTCAAGGAAACTGCAGATTCGACGCAAAGCTGCGGCCAAACGTGCTTCATCGAGTTCACCAGATTCTGACCTAAAAGAAGCAGCAATTGTGAATCTCTGGGGCGCAAATCAAGGAACCTTTAATAACTACCGAAAGCGCTTACGCGTGAATCAATTCCCTCAATTGAATATTCGTCAGAGTCATTGTGTCCGGGATCTTTGCAACATTGGAGGCAATTTCGACCCTCGCTGGCACCTGATTCAAACTGCCGATGATCCCCAGGATGTTGGCTTGAAGCTGCCCTAGTTGTCTTAAAAGGTACATTATATAAAAAGTTTAAGAGACGATCAACCTTTGCATCTTGAATGAAGAGAAGAAGGCGTTCATTGGTGCGACGCGGAATTTTCGGACGAGCAAGAAGAAATATTCCGAGCGAAACATCCGACAAAATGCCCATAGGTCCTGAAAAAAACGTAGATTTTACTAAACCAGGATTACCCTAATCGATTCCAGACTGGTGGTCATTGGATCATTGTCGCTATCCGCCTCGAGAAACTTGGCAGTTTCCGGTGGCAGAGATTCCTCGTACAAGCGCGAGGTTTCATCAGCACTTGAAAACGCTGTCTCGATTACACCGACACCATCAGTTACCTATCAACGCAGAGATTGCGCGACTCGTTCAATAAATGCGTTATAAACTCCTGTATCAACCGGACGGCCTTCTTGCGGCTGAGTTTTAGCGAGCTTCCTGGGAGCAGAAATCTGCAAGCGGGAAGTTGAAAAACTACGGACTTTTCCCACCCGAAAGATGCTATCTGTCGACGTCGAAAGGCCTCCAAAAGTTCATTGGCAGCGCTGTCGACTTCGGCCGAGATGCTGATCAATCGGCGATTGATCAGACACTGAGCACCGTTAGCACACAGAACAAAAGATGGCGTAAATGCTAAAAGCTCTCAGGTAAGGCAGATAGTAATACCTATAGCAAAATATGTTAACGTCGAGAAACCCGTATCAGCATATGCAGCAATGAAATCAGAGACCCGGTCGATTTCCAACTCCTAAACGAGAGCTGAATACGGCCACAATTCTGTACCTCCAATGCGTTATTTTCCAAAAGACCCGTGTACAACTTGTTTGAGATCCAATTTGTGAATAGAACCATCTACTAAAAATTACGCACTTGTTCGTAAAAACCTCCATAAAATATTTAAAACGCCATTCGTGTGCGTTTTTTTTTTGAAGAAGCAGAATTAATTTATTATAAATTAGTCCGAACAAAAAAAAGACAGGTTAATTATTACATTATTACTGTCATTCACAACCTTTTATAGACAGAGTTGGGCGCTTCATGAAGCCTGGATTGTTTGTAGTTTGCCCTCTAAACCAAAAGAAAAATGAGTAAAAGTTTAACAGAAAATACCTAAAGCAGCCACATAAGTGTCCAGAACGTTGACAGCTTCCTCCAATTTTCGAGTGCTGACTTCCATTTCATCAATTTGCTTGAGATATGGTTTTAGCGACGCATCTAAAGCTGAATAAATTCGATAAAATTCGCCTCACATTTCTCATTAAGGCGATCCAATTTCGAGGACACGCCTTCAGCAACAGTCTTCATGTCGGTGTACCGTTGAGCCGTGGCGTTGTTCATATCTTCGAGCAGCTTATATTCGTCAATCGTTCCTGAAGGGATGTCAGAAAGCACGGACTAGTGTACCTTGAATTTGCGATTCCAAAAGTTGCCCAATCTTGTCGTACATATTTTCAGCGGCTTGCCGCACTTGGTTAGTTGAAGCCGAAGCTTTAGATGGCTCGGCTGGAGATGAGCATGACGCTCTTTCATTGATTTCGGCCATCTGAACTTCGAGTAACGTACTGGTGCCCCTGGACCGCTCCCCCCCCCCTTGATCGATGACGGCATAAGCGGATCAAATACTATGCTCATACACTGTGTTGCCCACAAAACCACGTTTGACAAACGTTTATCACGAATAACTGACGTAAAATAAGTACCCAACATTCGAAAAGGCAACAATAGAAAGATGGCTATCACAGATGGAATGTGATGGAAAGGCAGGCATAGTTTACCAACAAACTTATGAAAAACTAAAAATACGATCAAAGCTTATTCTTTACATAAAGCACATCGTCGTTGCGAACGCGATTGCGATGAGGTGGGTGGAAGGGCGGTGATCGGCGAAAAGCATCTAAATTGCGTAAACGGCCTGCTGAAGGAACAAACCGCGCGAAGGAGGTGGCGGTTGTCTCATCGGCTCGCGTGCATTCGTCTGGAGAGTGATAGAAATGCCGTCGTGAAAGCCATTGCGATAGATCTAAATGAACTGTTAATATTGGCATCGAGCATCAACCTCACCGTGTCGTTGCCATGTCCTCGACCAGCGCCTCGGCCCCTAGATCTTGAAGCGGAGCCGCGCGACCTAGACGAATCCCTAAAAACTCAATGAGGGAACGAAATCATTAACCAAACCTTCCTTGCAGTGGGCGAACCGATCGAGGAGAGTTTGCACGACGATTATCGAACTAAATTGAGCCATAACAACACTCAATTGAATTTCTTACTCGATCGCGCCGTGTCAAGTGAGGAACGTCAGAACGAGAAGAACCGGCGTGGGGATGTTGCCGATCTAAAATGGAACTTTTAATCCCAAATTATGAAAATAAAGCAGTCCCCCTCCCTGTCAAAATCACAATGAACGGTGATCGCAAATGCCGACCTTTATCTCCACTTTTCAGACATAATTTCCGAGGCTTTTCTTTGCCATCGGCGTGGTCCAAAGCAGGTCCAGTGATGGGAACACGCTCTCGTTTACGTGGACTCTCCTCGGCTCGTTCTGGTGGCCGCTCAGGTGCTACATGTCCCTTTCGGTGAACGCTCGTCGTAAGCTCCTGTTCCGTACCGCGTTGACCCTCTTTCCCGAGATCATCCGAAGAAGCAATTTCCGTCTGAGCGCAAGTGGTCGCTTGCACTTCTTCGACTTCGTTCTCAATAGTCTCCTTTTTGACTTTCTCGGAAGCTGAGCTACAACGCCACATCTGCTTGTCACTCCCTCGTTCAGCGCCCGGAGAAACCATGGAAAAAGTCGGATGTCTACCGCAAGAAGCCCCATCCACAGCAACTGCCACTATATCAGTTCCCGCCGTCGCAGGCGACGGTTCGGTGTTGTCGACGATTGAAGTGTTCTTTAGCAGTATCAACGCAACTTCTTCGGATAGATCAACGCGCGGTTTGGTGGATTTTGGTCGATCCTTAGCGGAATCCTGCTCGGATGATGATGCCGAGCGAGTTACAGGATCTTTCTCCGTCAAAGTTCCAGTCACAGCAGCAACGAAAACAGTTGTCTCCAAAAGGGGCGTGCTTGCGCGAAAGTGTTCAGGCGATAAGGTCTCCGGCGTAGGTGAATGGTAAATACGACAACGCTCCGCAGGTGGTATCTTTGTCCAGTAGTTATTTAGCGCCTGTCGCGCCGTCGTGGTCAACTGCTGATGTAACTCCATCTTTGAGAGGCGTCGTTTAGTCGGCAAAGCTGCACCTGAGTCTCCTGATTGATCGGTCGGCAGGATTCGGTTGGGCAGCGACGTTGATGATGCATCCAAGTCGTTGGCATTAGCTGGCACATGCGGCGGGTGTGCGGTAGGCGGGCTCCCAATGTTGGATGTCGAACGAGAGGACGGATGATGGTGGTCTAAATGGAAGCCGCCAGTGTGATTCCAGAAGGGGAGGTATGCATGTGGGCAGTCCAAGGCACAGGGAGTCGCTCGCCAATAATAGAGATGTAGTACCATCGCGTGGAGACGTCTTTGTGCGCGGCTGAAGTGGGCTCCTCTCGCGTCGAATGGGGCGGTGCGACGACGAAGGCGATCCCTTCTCGATGGACCTCGATCGGGATCGAACACCGTCATTTGTCATGAAGCGCGTCGTGGGCTTCACCGGGATGAGATTCGGGTTGACATCTTCGCGTTTCAAGAACGGGCGGGGTGGAGAGCGCCTGTCAACCCTAAAGGAAAAATAGTTTATAAGAAAGAGATCGTACCTCCTCAAATCCCTATTCTCGGATCGGCGATCACGGAATCGTCTTTTACGGGCAATACGGGTTTCTGGTCCCCTGATCTTCGACGGGTGTTCGTCTTTAGAAGCCGGTGACTTCCTATCCGCGTGGCGGATCTGTAAAGCAAGCTTTGGTTGGGGATTTTGAGGACACCTGATCTTCATGACAAAGCCTAGCCATGAATTTCCTACACTTTGCGTGTAAAATATAATAAAATACCTGGGATCCACGATCCGACTGATCAGAGTTACGCCGAGGCGACCGGGAGAACGAGCGATGAGGACCAGGGGGAGATTTCGGCCTCTAAACCAAAATTGATGCTCCCGGTGTTTTCCTACGCTTCCTCGCCGCCGAATAGCCGGGGACCGTCGACGAGACCTCGCCTTCTTGCGATCCAAAATTTCAGCGGCGATTCGTTTCTGTCTGGCCTCATAGCCCTAAAATACAATATGAAGAATCTCGAAACAACCTACCGGGTCTCGGTCTTCATCTCCGTGCACCTTTTTCTCAGGACTGGGTGTTCCAGAAACCTCATCGACACACACGAGATCGTCTTCGTCGAATTCGAGATCACTAAGCGACGTGAATCGGCCACAAAGAAACGCTTACTCTTCCGTATCATCAGCCGACGAAACGGGATCATCCTCACCATAATCCAGTTCGATGAAATCCATCTAAAGTGTAGTCCAGTATTAATATGGATCCAAAAGCCAGAAGATATGAGGCGGAGAACCAGTAAATTGAATATCAAACAATATTTTCACGAGATCGTTTATGTACACCAGTTGTAATTGCACAAAACATGAACGATTAATTCGAAATCCAAATTGGAGCAAGTGGAGCCGCTTTGACTTTTTCAAAGTCGATTCTTTTGTCGAGCTCTTCGTCGATTTCTCCGATCAGTGCCCTGGAAATAAAACATAAATCTATGGTTCCCTAGGGCCGGATCGTGAGTGTACGAAAGCGCAGGCTGAACCAAATGCCACATGACGACTGGGCAGCTATTGATTGGTCGGCGGTGTAATGCCAACGCGAGAGAGCGCGCTAGAATGAGAGCCTGCAGTATGGCGAAGCGCGCAAAGAAATCATCAGGAAAGACAGAAAAACCTACACATTGTCTCCACGGATGATGTAAAGCCCAAGCGGGATCTTCTCGACACCTTGGGTCTCCGAGTATACACGCTCGTGGCTGTCTTCCAGCACGATGTTCACGAGCTGATCGAATCCCTTGAGTAGACCGATAAAGCTTCTGCCATCTCCAGTGATCACGTTTATGGGCCGGTTCATGAATTGTTCAAGCGACGACGTCATGCTATTGCTCACTCTGAAAGCAGGGATAATAGCCGGGTTATTTGGGGTACCCTGTATTTTTATTATAGGTATTGGTATGCCATACTATGTGCTCCGACGAAAATTTGACCCTCCAGAAGTCTTTATTCAAATTACAATCAAAAAAGGATATAACGACGACAGTGGGGGTGTCATAGCCACGCGAGGTAGCGGATGTTGAGGGGGCGGGCGAACAAACAAACGACGAGTTGGGGGACGAGATTTTGCGAGCGCACCAACAGACTGACATGTAAGATAACTTGTGCTCAACAGAAATGATGAGACCATTGTTCCAGATGATAAACCGGTCTCAGTCGTTCTTTAAAAAAACATCTCCGATCTCGCGAGTATGAGCAACTGGAAAGTGCCGGAGACACCAATTAAAACAATAGAACAAATAGCTAAAGAGAAACCTCGACCTTATTGGAAGGGCAGAATAACAACTTCCGGGCTTTGGAGTGGAAGGCAACGAGGCTAGCCGCTATTTTGTACAAAGAATTAGTTGGTGGTCAACAAAATTCAGCATGTAGTTTGTGGGCAGGGAGAAGATAATTGTTTTGCAAGAGTCGAGTGAAAGCGAAGACTATGAGGAGGAAGGCAACGAGGTAACCTAGTACTGCTGTTGTTGCTGAGGCTGATGGTAGCGCTGGGTGGCACCACCGGCTTGTCCTCCCTGCCTCTGGGATCCCTGATAGTCGTAGCTGTTGCCTAAAAATTACTGTAAGAGAAAGAAATTTCAGATTTACCACCTCCGTAACCTCCGGCACCACTCCCGTATGTGCCATTCTGGTTGCCAGCACCGCCGCCGTAGTAGGCAGAAGCAGCATTGTACCAATCACCGCCCCATCCGGCTCCACCGTACGGAACGCCTCCCATTTGACTCCATCCGTACCATCCAGCTCCGTGAGCCCCTCCGCGCCCGGGGAAGCGTCCTCCCATTCCGTTTCCACGAGGGCCACCCATGGCGAAGCGCTTGCCTTGCGGGACAGCCTTCTTCACGTCGCATTCGCGGGAGCCGAAAGTCTGCTTGGACTGGGACGACGCCTTGTCAGCGGCCTCCTCTTCCTCGAAAACGATGAAGGCGAAATTTCGTCGTGTCTTGGTCTGCTTGTCGAACGGCCATTCGATGTCCTCGACTTTGCCGAAGTGCTCGAAATGCACGCGCAGCTGGCTCTCATCGTAATCAGACGGCAGGCCACCGACGAAGACCTTCTTGTTCTCGCGGGACTTGGCGGGCTTGACCTCTACCTAAACGAGAGAATTAACACACCAGTGAATTACCAAGCCAGTCACGCTAAAATAGGCAAAAATTAAAATTCGGGTATTCTTCCCTCAAAAGTTCCATAGAAAAACGTACGGCCTTCCCCTTGATCGTTTGCTCACGAGCAGCGAGAGCGGCTTTGCAGGAGTCTCCAGAAGTGAACTCGACGAAGGCGAATCCTCGGGAGCGACCAGTTGTGCGGTCGAATTTAACTTGAGCGTTGGCGACTTCTCCGAATTCACCAAAGTGCGTGGTTAAGTCATCGTTTGTAACGTCGTAGGCAATCCCTCCGACAAAGATCTTCCTAAACACAAGCGTTTTGTAACACGAAAAAACCAACTTGTCCTCATTGCCTTTGCTGTGCCCGTTCTCTTTGTGGATGTTGTTGCCATTCTCTTCAACGTGCCCGTTCATAATTCTGGAAAAATCGTAGTTTGGCGAAGATAAACAAAGCACGTACCTTGACTGTATTTTTTCTTGTAGTTAGTTCAATAATTTATAGAAGAACTACGACAGAGCTTATAGAGATTTACGAAAGGAGAGTCGTTAGACTACCTATAGAAGTTACCCTGAAAAAAGTGAATTAGTGCCGAAAATGCATGTAGCGGTAAATAAACGCGGAAAACAAGAGAAATAAGGCGGGAAAACGGTTTACATCACAAATTTTTAGAAAATCCAAATGCGCGTCCCAGGGGACAGTAAGCAATTCAAAAATCTGCCGCAAGACCCAGGGCGAATGGGCGAGAGTGCAGCGTACGGGGCTAGCAGGGCGCGCAGAGCTGGGAAAGAGGCGGAAAAGATCGCGACAACCTCATCACGGGCCCGTTTGAGCAGATGGTGCAACTTTTGAATAAGTAGAGCGCCGGGCGCAAGAATTTTTCAAAAAAGCGTTCGAGAACCCGGGAAACAGAAAAAAAATTAAAAAATGGTTGATGGAGAAAAACTTTTTTCGGAAACCCATGGCGCGTAATGAGGGTGTTGTGTGGAATATTTTTGGCCGATTTCCAAGAATTCCGAATTACTGCTATAGCGTACATTGTTTTATTTTGTATTTCTTCTCTGCGGCAAAATTTATTGCCTTTTTCCTCAAATAACACTTGTTTTTATAAATAATTCATGAACTACATGATATTTCTGTTATTTAGTCGAAATGGACCCGAATACAGCCAGCAAGAACCTCGCGTCGATACGGAATATAGACCCGTGCGCCGAGGCCATCCTTGATAAGGTATTCCTGCTGGAAATTTGAAATATTTTTATTGTTAGGTCAATCATACTGCCCTGTATCGCTTCAACAATGTGTCGCGGGCCTGGGAAAAGTCGGACGTCGATGGTGCGATGTTTGTCATCCAGCGGATCGACACACCGTACTACAGGTAGGGTAGATCAGATAAGGCTCATGTATTTGTTTAGCTTGATACTTGCGAATCGTCAGTCATTGCAAGATATGATCGAGCCAATCACTGCCTTGATTCGTCTCCAGATGCAGCCGCCCTATATATTCTTTTGTAAACCTGATGGTAATTGTTTGGAATAGATAGCAAAACTTTGTATTTAGGAGAGATCCGGGGTCTCTGGTTTTTTAACGACGCTGACTGCGAGCGGATCTACAACATTATGCACAGGATTGTGACGGAGCTGCAGGCGGGAAAGGTTGGCTTGTTTCTCGCGCGAAAATAAAGCTTTTAGGAAAAATGTTCATTCATTACGCCGATGCCCGGTGCAAGCAGCCCGGCTCCCGCGAACAAGTCCCCCGTCGAGCCAGCGGCCTCGGTGGCGCCTCCCAACGACACGAGCTCGCTGAAAGATCTGTTGGCAAGACTCAATAAGGGAACTCAGGTTTCTTGTTATCTTTCTAAACTAACACCAGATTTTACGTTCAAAATAACTTTTCTTTTAGCCCTCCAATGAACCGGCCGCAACAGCACCCAAGCAAACGCAAGGCATCTCGATAATGGGCCAACTTTTCGGCGGTAGCAAGCCGCCACCAACCCCCGAGGTTTGTAGGGCATTTGTTTCTGAATTCTCGTTCAGGCGCCAGTCTCTGCGACCCCCATTGTGCACGTTGCCGATTTGGAGAAGAGATTCTTGCAGGTTACCGGACCTGTAATTTTTGACGTTTTTTTCAGGGCGAAAAACCGAGCCCGTTGAAACCCGCCAGCCCGCTGATGGGCAATTCGACGTCTGCCGCAAGTCTGAATGCCTTCTCGACCCGCTCAGTTCAAGGTTCAGAGGACCATGACCCTTCAGAGGTTGGATCTTCTTGCTTTTCCCCTTTACAATCTTGTTAAACTTGTCGACCTGTAAAAAAATTGTGGAACGAAACAAACAAATTTCCTATGCGATTTCCAACCGGTTAAGCTAATACGTTCACGTTAAAATTGCGTCGGAAGTAACGTGTTTTGTTTGCCTCGTTTAGATCCAAATTCTATGCTCTCCTTCTACCGTTCCGCAATTATTTAGAGGTCCACGACTGTGTACGCGGTCTACGATACTGCGATTGAGCCGAACCATTATTCACAATTCGGAAAACCCTGATTTCAGCTCGACTCGGTCAGCATCCGCGGAGCAGAGCCGGGGCTGGGTGGCGACAATGATGTGCCACTTCTTGATCGGGTAAATTATTCGTTGCCTTTCGTGTCGCCCGACCGCTGCTCGCTCCAATTTTTTGTATTTTCTAGGAGCAATTCCGCAGCGCCATCGCCCATCTCCTTCAGCATGATGACGACTTTGTCACGCAGATCCACCAAGCGTACGTTGACGTACTGATGAACCGGTTAAGCATCAGGCCAAATGCTAACTCGTAAACGTGATGCCCTTGTATGTTGTAAGTGTTATAATTTCCAGTATGCAGGTATTCGCCGGCCGAGTATTTTTATTAGTCCCCTCATTGCCTCGGTTGTTTTAACCGAGGTCCGCTTTATCACTGTAATTTGATAAATCTTCAACAACCAATTCTTCATAAATGTGTGCATTTTTAGAATCTATGGAATTTGAGATTGTTTTATTCACTGACGTGGTAGGGTTGGGGTAGGTCTGAAAATTAAAGAATTGGGGGAAAAGCACAATGTCGCACCCGTTATTACAACTATGATGGCATATGAGAGTGGACCCGGGCTACCATACCGCACGAACACATGGAAAAGTCGCGCGGAACAGGGCGGCACTATGCGCGTGTTCACCCGTTCCACACGTCAATTGATCACCGATTTTTTGGGGGGTAGGGGGAATAGTAGGGCAACGGGGCCGCTGAATCGCTATACAAATGCCACCCGTGACACACAGGAACGATGATACACGAATTCGAATTTGTGTTGTTGGGCAATGGGTCGGGAGAAGTCCAGGGTTGGGTGCAAAAATTAGATTTCCAGGAGCTGGCAGCACTGCGGTGGATCCAGCCCCGGGGTTGGAATGTCGAAAAGCACCAACCCTGGGAAAGGCACAAAACTGCCATCTAACGGCTATCCTAGGCGAGACTCCGGCACAATCGAAGTATATGATCACTGATCGAAACTCGGGGGGAAGAAACTCGTAGACATCACAATCTTTTTATGGATTTTTGTATATGTTTTAGCACAAACAAAAAGACAGTCGCGACTAGGGCTAGGCGAATTCCGATAAAAAAGTTAGTCGAAAATACTGAGCACACGCTGTCGTGAAAAGGGAAGGGTCACTAGGTTGGAAGGCGACGAATCATGAGCTTGAACCGCATCACATATGGAGAGGAAAGGGTGGATGGAATGGAATAAGGCATAGCGAAGACCGTTGTCATGTTTCAATTAGGCACATGCTCGACATTTTATAAGGCAACTCGAAGAAGGACAAGTGAAGGTATGTAAGCACAGAGAAGTGTGTTCATAATAATAAGACACGATAAAAACAGAATATGATGGCGAGTGTGTGACCCATAATCGGCTGACACGCACGCGTTTCCTCAGAAGAGAGCAGAAGAGGATGAATGGCTATAAACAAAACCTAGCAGGAATTACTAACAATGGGGGTGATCTACATGTACATACTAACATTTACTGTTAGGGGAAGAGTGATACCTAAGATTTTAGGTGATGGAGTTTATGTATTTAGAAGATGGAGCTCAACGAGGCGGAGAGATGGTTGTCGTTGCGGCGACCATTTTGGAAGGCGGCGATGCGTTGCTTGATAATCTCCAGCTTGGCTTGGTGGTCGGCGTGTTCTTGGCGTAACCGCACGAATTCGGCGTCCTTTTGGTAGCGATAGTATCTAAAGAAGAGAATATTTGGATGGATTTTCGTACAACGGTTTAAAAATAGTTTCAAGAAACGGGAAATTTCTTAAAAATCAACTCCCTTACCTCCCATGAATGCTGCGCTCAACCTCCTCCACATCATCGCCAATCCCGCGCTTGGCTCGCTCGTAGCGGTCGGAAAGCTCGCGGAACTCTTGGCTGACCTGGAATGGAAAAAGATCAGCATTTGAAAAGGAGGCATACCGCTTCAAGCTGCTTGTACGTCTTCATGTACGCCGGGTACTCCTTGTGGAACATTTGATGGTAGTTGTCGGCGTCCTCCTTCGACTTGGCCTCGGGAAATTCCTTGGCCCAGTCTTGCGACGGCTGGATCGTGGATGGGATGATAGGGCTCGAGAGCCGAGAGGAAGATCCCGAGGATGCCGATGAGACCGAGGAACCGCCAGTCGATCCGCCCGAAGCCGCGATAGCGCGCTGGCGTTCCTGCTCGTTGTCGAGATCTTTACGAGCGACCGGTCGATGCTGGGGAGGCCTCTAAAACTAAACCATATAACAGCCAAAAATGAATAAAAACCACGTTGAAAATGCTACAGCTAACAAAGCGACGAACCTGCGGAATCGGTGGGCTGATGTCGGTGTTGGACATGATGAAGGGCCGCTTTTCCCGCGGAGCCGTCGGCGGCTCGTGGGCTTTGCGCTTGACGGTGGTGCTCGGCAGCAGCGAGTCGAGGAGATCACTGAAAGGGAGGAATTAATGAAATCGATATCTAGGAGGCAACAAGGCACAACGGGGGAAAAGGTGCCATGTTGTTGGCCAGGAAACTGTGACGCGCCGCATCGATATCGATCTTGATGAAACAGAGTCGCTGCTCATCAAAGCACGAGCGGGCCTTTCCCGGTAATGTTTCTCCGGCTGTTACGCGGGAAAAACGCGATTGGGGAGCGCGTTCGAAAGGGTGTTCCCCTCCCAAAGCCCAAGTAAGCGCGGTTGATTTGGCGCGCATTCTCTATTTTAACCATTTTTCAGGCGCCCACCACACTAAAAACAAACTTACATGCTGGAATTGGTGCTGGCAGGGCTGCTCTTGATCGGCGACGATCCCTTGAGAGACGAAGAGGAACCGGGCGAGGCCTTGGACATTGTCGACGAGGTGGACGAAGCCGGGGACACGGTCTTCCTCCCCGCGTTCAACGTTTCTTGCATTGTACGCGCCATTTGGGGGCTCACCTAAAATTACAAAAATAAATAAAAAAGTTCGAACTTCAAGCTCACCTTCTTCCCCTGCACCATGATTGGAGGCTGGGGTGTTGTTCGCAAGGGCGGCGAGGGATTCGCGGCAGTGGAGGGAGACGCTGAAAGATAAGCAATAAACGCCGCCAACAAAAAGCACTCACAATTTTCTTTGCGCGAACTATCGCCGGAGGGCGGGCGGTGTTGAATGCGGTCGATTCCTGTCTTGCGAGTAGGCGCGAAACCAGAGGACGAGGAGGCCGGCTAAAATGGGCACTTTGGATTGGAGGGGATTATTAGGGGAGCGGCCAGGGCGGGCCCTGCTAATCTTGCCAAATCGAAAGTCCCTGGAGACAAGAGATGAAGTGAATATGCAGTACCTGTTGTGCACGTCGAATATTCGCCTTTTCTTCGGTCGTAAACCAGGGCCACCGCATGTCGACTTCGGAGAAGAGATTTTGACGGAGCGTCAGGGGACCGGTACCCTCGGATTCACTGACCTAAAAATAGACATGAAACGTGATTTTTTTTTTGCACAACGACATTTTCCAATGGCAGCGGTGGAAAAAAAAGCTTACCTCTTTGACAATATTCCTGATGTCCTCGTAATTTGTTTCCTTCTCCAATCCGTCCTTTTGCAGCTTTTCGAAGACTTCACGGGTTGAAGAATAGCGACCAGTAACGATGAGATGAATGACTCTTTGCTAAAAGAAAATATGATACGAGTAATCTAAATGGAGCATACCCTCGGCTTTTTGCGGATGAGATCGTTCTTGAGGCTCTGGGACATGTTGGGGCGTTGCGACGCGGTGAGCGCTGCGGAAAGGATAAAACACTCGAAAATTTGGCTCACTTGATGCGGTTGAAGGCAGAGGCACGGGGACTTTTGGCTTGTTGTTGGAGATCGGCGAGTGTTTGGCGGCAGAGCTGGTTGAGGCGTACTTGGAGCGTTCGAAGGGTAACCGTTGTTGTGACATTTGCTGAGCCTTCTGGGCCAGGATCTTGGTTTGGTGTCTGAAAAAAAATAGAATAGGTAAGGCAAGCAAAAAAGCGCAAAAATTCCGGTAAATCTTACTTTGGTACCTCCTTCGCGGTGCGCTGGGCTTCTTGTTCGGCCATCAGCTTCGCTCGATGCCGCGTCTCGTCCAGCGACTGCTCGGTAGCCTTGATCTGAAAACGGTGAAATTAAGCGGAAAACGCGGACGATCATAGTTTATGCGCGTGGGAAATGTCGAGAAGGCGTTTTATGGCACCAATAAAATCTTCAACCGATATAATCGATCGAGCAAAAGTCCTCGTTCATTTCAGAAAGTTTTTTGAGCGAAAGGGGGGACTTTCGAAAAATCTAATTTACCCTACCTGATATTTTTGGTGGATGGTGCCGAGCATCTGGTAGCCGTGCCGCTTGTCCAACCGCATCACGTCCGAGGGGGTGCTGGCCATCGACTGGATCGAGAAGCGGAACTGCTTGTCGCCGCTTAGTGTGATGACTCCGCCCTGAATACAGAAATTAGTAAATCGCGTCACAAATTGGCTAAAGGTCAGTAAAAAAGTTCCTTACCTCTTTTTTGATGCTGATCTTGGCGCCGGCGCCGTTCGCCTTCTGCAGGGCCGCGATCATGTCGTCGGTGAGGCGGACCAGGGCCACCTGCTGCCCGCTCGAGACTGCATTTAATCTGAAAAGAAAATTTATTTTAAAAAATCAGATTCTAAATTTTGTAAACTTTTTTTTTCAATTTTAAAAGCATCCCTCAAAAGCCGTGAAAAGAAAAAACCCATAAAAAGTCGAACCTATGCAGCTCGGGCACAGCTGGGGCGCTGTCGGCGGAGAGCAGAGGTGACGAGCTTGCCATTGTCTTGCCTGTTCAATGCTCAAAAGAGCGCAGAACAACGTTTCGGCAGTCGGTGTTCCCCACTTTGCCGAAACGTGTTGTTGCCTTCTTCCTCCCTAAATAACAGGGTTGTATGGATTCAGGCGTCCTAAAATGGGATCTGAGGTAGAAGAGAACGCATAATCGGCGGCAAGAAAAACAATTTTTCGAGCCAAACAAGCTGAAGAATATATTGCCCTTGTATTGACGATGCAGGAGGTTGTCAACGATTTTTGAGGAATGTAAGAAAAAGAGAACGAGGATCATTGTCGGAATACAGGAATCCGAGCCCGGCACGTAGATTCAATAGTCGCCGTTAGGGTTATAGTCCAGGAATCGGACCCCGGGTCGTTTTTGACAGTTGCTGTTTGTGCAGTGGCTGTTTTGACATATACTGGCCTGGGCGGACGAGGGCGGATAGGGCCGGCGAGAGAGAGACAGAAAGGCAGAGAGTATGACGAAAAAGAGACCACAGGCGAGAAAGCAAAGTCGGGATAACAAGTCGGCCCAAACGGCCCCGCAAACAGCGTGTGGAAAGTGCAGATGGGGGACACAACGGCTACCACCTCTTCCTGTTGGCCTAAAATCAGGGGTGGTATGCAAAATGGGAGGTTTTTAGGCCCTCGGGTGCCGATGCAAATGGTCATTAATGCGAATTTTGCGTGGCAGAACCGGGGGCGGCGGTGGATAAAAGGAATTGGGAAAGGCGGGCAGAGAAAGCGGCACTAAATTACGAGCAGGGCGACTGTGATGTCACTGGCCGCGAGAGTGGGCCCCCGGAATCGAGTCGGGCATTTCGGGAATGAAACTGCCCCCGGGAACGGCCCCCAGACGGGTCAGCCAAAAAATGGAGGCGGATTGGGCCGGAAAGACGCACGCAACAAATATGCGAAAAAGGCTTTTGAAAGGAACTCCATGAATTTGGAAAAATAGAGGCCTTTATGGGTTCAAACGGGCTTTTTGGGCACATGAGGAATCTATGGACGGTACTATTGGCCTAAAAACAATCGGGTACTGTCCTGTTAGCGGGGGGGGAAGGGGCTAACCTTGGCCTCTCGCCCCCGTCGGGTCTGAAATAGATACAAACCATTTTTTAAGCATGGAAAATTAAAAAAAAATTAGGAAATTTTCGGAAATATTGATTTTTGATCAAAAACTTCATTTTTTAAATTGTCTAAAAAAATTTTTGTTTGTAAGTCTTTGTAGTATGAAAGACTACGGCAAATCTGATCAAATACACTCGAAAACAACAAAATGTTCGCTAGTACCAACAATCAATTGAAAACCACCAAAATAGAGCCACCCCTTCAAAGTCTTGTAGTGTAAAATTAACCTAGTTTTCCGGTGTTTGCGCTAGCGAGCGCCGAAATTTTTCGTGGTCAAATTAGACGGTCATAAAAGCCAATTGGAGCGCTAGTCCCAACATTGACGCGGGGGGCGCGCGCAGAGAAGAAAGCACGACGGTGGAGAGATCGCTATCAGAAATTGGGTGAGCCGGGGGCAGAGAGCCGATCCGTGCAGTGGCAGTTCCACCGTCGCGAAGAAGCGGTAAACAGAGTGTGACCGTGGTCGGAGGCGGGAAGGAGGGCTGTGGCGGGGAATGGCGGGTGTTGCGGGTAAATTTTGCCGAATCCGGCCCGGGGGTCGCACGATGGCTTATCACCTGACCGAACGGTTTTTTTCGGCGGGTCCCGAATGGGCCGACACCCGGGTGCATCGATAGGAGGGGAAGGGAGGATCAATAAGGGTCGAAAACAGGGTGACAAGCAATGGGTGAGGAGCACTACGGGATCTGTGTGGTCTGTGGACACTGGGCCCCCGGTTGGCCCGGATAAAGGGAGACGAGGGTCTGGAAAGTATTGTGGAACTTTGTAGTTTATCAGAAAGTATTTAGAAGAACATAGACAAAAAACGTATTATATTAAATAGAATGTTTTTAGATTGTTTTTCATAAATTAAACGCGATTCGTGGTAGAAAACCTTCTACAACAATTAGAAAAACGCTTGAAAAATCGGAAAATTGGCTCGATTTAGGCTGGGGGAATCGATTTTTCGACCAAAAATATTGATTTTAAGCAAATTAGTAGTTTTTACGTGAAGGATTAGTTAAAAACATGGTAGAGACCAACCCAGGTTTTGGCTGGAAAATTTGGTCCCCGGACGAATACTCAAGTACCACAGCTAGCTGTGAAATTTCCATAAAACTCAGGTTTAAAAATGCTAGTTTGTATTTGGCATAAAGACAAGTCAACGGTGATTTAATTATAAAACAAAGTATAAAAAGCAAATCATGCGTCATTCCCCATCCGACCAAATTTTATACCACCGGCAGCAATGACTTCCGAGGAGGACGCCTGGCATGAGGAGCTCGGCATCAAAGAGGTACCGTTTTTGCTCAACTCTAAATGCCAAATTCAGGGCGCCACCATCGAGTCGAGCAAGGCCAAGTACACGATCGAAAAGCTGTTGGGCGAAGGCGGTTTTGGGGCGGTGTTTAAGGTATTGCTATTTGCTAAATTTTACCTAACCCTAATTTCTAGGTAACGGATAAAGAAACAAAACTGACGTATGCAATGAAAGTGGAGAAGAAGGTGGAAAACCGGGTGCATTCGAAGCTGAAAATGGAGGTGAGCCGGGGAGTTGTTTGAGCCTGAGCTTTGCCCCCCAGATCGCCATCCTGAAGCTGATGGAGAAGGAGCGGCGTGGTGAGGGCGAGCGGAACCACTTCACGCAGATCACCGATCGCGGCAAGAAGGAGCTCTACTTTTTCCTGATCATGCAGCTGGTCGGCAAGTCGCTGCAGGATCTCAAGAGGACTCGCGATCCGCCGGTTTGTGATAATAGTAAACTCCTCGTAGACTAGGAAAAAAGTTACTAGGGCTGATAAGGTTTATTGGTTACTTTTGCGTAATTTTTTTAGATTTTTAGTCATTAAAAGCGCCCAAAATGTAAATAAATCATTCCGAGAACAAAGGTGCTGGTTTGAGCACGAACTACACCCTCAAAAACCCATGAATCACTTCGAAAATCGTTCATAAAAAAGAACAATCCAGGTGTTCTCCATCGGCACCGGGATCGGGGTCGCGATCCAGTGCCTCGAGTCGGTGGAAGATCTGCACAAGCACAACTTCATCCACCGCGACTTGAAGCCGGCCAACTATGCGTGCGGCCTGGGCAACCAAGTGCGCACCATCTTCATCCTCGACTTTGGCATCGCCCGCAAGATCACCAACGAGCGGGTATGGAAATTGGAAACAAACGATCACGAGCCGATTCTTAGAATGAGCTGAAGACGCCGAGGGCGCAGGCGCGCTTCAAGGGCACCGTGCGGTTCGCCTCGTTGGCGTGCCACCGTTGCAAGGAGATGTCGTTCAAGGACGACGTCGAGTCGTGGTTCTACCTGCTGCTCGACTTGATTGTGGCTAATGGTTGGTCAATGCGGAAGAGAATTGACAAAAACGACTTTGCTGTCTAGGCCTGCCGTGGAAGAAGCTCACGGAGAAGAACGAGGTGATGACGGCAAAGGACAATGCCCGTGAAAAGAAAGAAGGACTGTACGGCACGCTCAAGTACAAGGATGTGAGAGCGCAGAAGCTAATCAGAAAAAGAGAGATGCTTTCTAGGAATACCACGAGATTCTGCTGTACGTCGACAAGCTCGAGTACACGGACCGCGTCGACTACACCTACATCTACGAGAAGCTAAAGCGGGTAGCCCAGAAACCCGAGCTCGCACAGGCAACCTCGCGCTCCTTTCAGATCACCACCCAGCAGGGCGCCAGCATCGATGACCGCTACGACTTTGAGCCGAAGAAGTAAACGCCCCGAGATTGAAGCTGTGTAAAGAACCAAACCGATTCATTTCTTGTCGCTATGTCTGATTGCTACCTGCCCTATTGTGAATAAACGAGCACTCATTATTATTGGATGGGTCCTACACGGGATTTTTTTCCGCGCACGGGGGTGCGGGGGGCCTGGCCAAGGCGGCGTCAGGCGGAGGGTCAGGGTTCGATTCCTCTCCTCGCATAAAATCATCACATGGTTTTGCTTTTTTTTGCAAAATACTCAGAAAAGCGCCGACAACAAATCTGTGGCGAATCTCAGGCAGAAAATTAGGAAAATGAGGCCCTAACGAGAACATCGTCTTGATAATCGCTTCAAAGCGTTTAAAATCCTTGTTTTTCCTCGCGATCGCTGAGATTCTTTTACCAAAATGTTCCCGAGGGTCTTCTCTACAAATTACCAGGCGGAGAATTTGTCATTTTTTCTAGAAAAAAAGTTATAGCCATTAGAAGGGATTTTCTAATACATTTTGGGGGCGAAAAGGGGGCGTGGCCTCGCCCATTCCCTGTCTCCCTCTCGTGCGCGCCCCAAGTAAGGTTAAAAACCCCGTGCCTAAAAGTCGGACGTGCGGATACGAAAATTCTGCGAAGACGGAAAAATTTAAAAAATCCCATTACCACGATTTTATCTACTTAACTTTGTTTCAACAATAAACTTTACGTTAAACTATAAAATACGACGCAAATCGTGACTTGCAGGTTACAGCGATTACTCATACACAAAGAGGGTGAGCATATAATTTCGTTCGAATTAATGCATTACAAAAAGCGTCCAAACCATACTAATTACGCTTACAAATTTTCCTATCCGGTTACCTATCCAAAATCTCGTTTTATAGGCAAAAATCTCAGCAAGTCAAGCTGAAGCAATTTCCATTGTGAAAAGCAAAAAAAAAATCGAAAAGAAGGCAATCGATAAATGAGGATCGAAAAGGTAGGCCGTGAAGCGTGTAATCAACTAATAAGTTGTTACAAAATTCTGCCAAAAAGCCTCACAAAAAGATCTTAAAACCGGACCAAAAATTAGGGCAAAATGTCATAATGGGAAAATTTCTCAACATAAAAATGGCTTCAGCAGCCCGGCCAGATGACATTAGCCATCCGAATGAGCTAGGCGGTAACATTTTTTTGGGGAGAGCCGAATTAGGCTTCCGTTTAGCGGGGGGCGCGGAATTCTATGGAAGAAGAGAGGGAGGGAGGCTGTGGCTGTTTGATGGTGGTACAAGGGGAAGAGAAGCGGACGGGACGGGGGTCTGGGGCGCGCCTCTTTTTTGCAGGCTCTCCGGCGGCCGGGCGATGCAGGGCTGGGGGTGAGAAGCGGAAAGGGGAAGAGGAAAAGGGATACGGGGCGCGGATGGAGGGGACGGTTTGTGGAGGGGTTGGAGATGGCGAGAGCGGCTAGAAGACGTGGGTCGAAGAAGACAGAAAGAGACCAGGAAGGCCGACTGGCCAACCGGTCACCGCACATGCACGGCAAACAGCCGGCCGGCGCACGTCGTCGAAGAGGACGCCCGGGAGATGCGGGGGGGCAGACATCGACACGAGCAAGGAGGAGCCGGCGTCCCACACCAGCGCCCAGACAGTCGTTGTCGTCGGATGGCCTCGGAGGATACCGGCCACACCCTACACGGTTTCAGCCCCACTGGGACGCCCCCGGGACCATCACCCCCACGTGTGCTTTCCCACGAGTCCGGAATTTTGGAGGATACTCCATGCCAGGGATTTCCTTATTTCCTACTATATATAAAAATCCTACTATATATAAAAAAATAGTGTTTGTGTGTGTGTGTATATTTGCATGCACTTCCGTTAGGATGTTCCGCTCCTACAGCCTCGGGGGAGGGTTTTTTGGATAGGGAAGAAACGATAATAGGTTTAGAATGGTCCGGAATCGACTGCACACACATAAAAATTTTGAAAAATTGTGGTTTTTGCTATTAAAAATAGGTTTTTGTAAAACCCTGTTTGTTAGGGGAAATTACCATACGCCGGAAGTTCGAAGAGCCTATATAAAGGGACAGAGGAGCCGTTTTTCACTTTTTTTCTTGCTAAAATTCAGGAAGAAACATGCAAATTAAGGACTTTCACAGGTCCTGGACGGGGCCAGGTTTGAAAAGCCGCGAAGCGGTTTTTCAACCCTGGTTTCCTTATTATGATGCTATACCTTACTAGGGAGGGTTCTTTAGGATTCTGGGGCGGGAAAACCAAAATTTTTCGCCAATTATGGTTCTAAGTTCGCCTAGTAAACGAATATAAAAAGTTTCTAGAATTTTTTTACGTTTACATAAATAGAAAAACCGTTCTTTCGTTAACGCGGGAGGACCGAATTTTTTGTATAGGTCTATAAATGTCGAGTAACTTAATAGGGATTATTTTAACGGTGATTTTGGTATTTTGGTACTTGGTACTTTTGATTTTGGTACAGATAGAACTATATTTAAACTAGAAAAACTATCTAGAAACTTGCAAAAATATTTGAAAAAACGAAATTTTGTTCAAAAACGACCAGATTTGATACAAGAATCGATATTATTTGTATTTTTTTTAAGAATTACGTAATTTTTTAAGATTTGTAAAGTTTTTACGTTTCAGAATAGTAAAAAACTGTTTATAAACACTTCCGCTAATTGTATGCGAAAATATAAGCAGGAAAACTTAAAAAAAATCAATTCTTCTAACTATATTCAATTTTTTAACGAAAATTAAGAAGGTTTTTATAATTTGTAAAACTTGGACTTTCTAAAACACGACCCCCATTCTAAAACCGGCCATAGCACGAACCAAAAATAATTATTAGTGGACCTACAAAAAGTTACGCAATTTCCGGCCTCTCGCCCCGTCATCAAGCCAAATGTGTCATACCCGTTCATGGGCGATGGATGCGCAACTGGAACTTTCACGCCCAAACAAATAATGAATAAACCTACCTGCCACTAAAAACAAGTCCGATGCTGCTAGAATAAAAATGGCTAAAAGTACAGGGTGCCGTCCTCCGATCGCCCGGTCATGTTTATGGCTATTTGATAAATCGGTGGCTGCCAATATGGCGAAAGCCCCCTTATCAGGTGGGGGTTCGCAGCAAATCGATGTCAGTCATGGGGACGGGGATTTGAAATGTGATGTCAAGAGTACAGGAGGGGATTTGCAATGTTGCGCAATAGTCGTTTGCGCAATAAATTGAAGTACCGATCTAACTCGCAGGTTTTACTATCAGTAAAACTGATAAAATTGAGAATCGGTCAAAACGAAAATTACAACGATTTTAGAAAAGCTTTGAAAATTTAAATCAAAAAAGGAAAAATAGAAGCGAAAAGAGAGAGTGCTAGAGAGAGAGAGCGAGAGAGAGGGAGTGAGCGAGAGACAGTCAATGATAACGGAAGAGGAAGAGAGAGCGAGAGAGCGATAGAGAGTGAGTGAGTGAGGGAGAGAAGTAGAGAGACCGTTTCAGAAAGCACGATGACGACGTCAAGATACTAAAGTCGAAACATACGTAATGGACTGTGAGCAGTGGGGAAACTAATTTTCAGAGTAATCCTAAAATATATAACAAAATATAAACCATATTTATAGCATTTTACACAGTTTTTAGATAGATTTATAGAATTTAGATAGCTCACCAATTTTGTAAATTTTTACTTTTGCTCAATTTTGTTTTGCGCTACATCATCGCTTCAACACAGCCAGACCTACGTGTTGTAGTACAGCGTTTCCGGCAAGGAACCCCAGCGCCGCAAATCCTTATCAAGGTGAAGGAAGGAAAAAGGAAGGCACCAGCAAAAAATACGAATTACGTGGTGTCCGGTGTCGTGAGGAGGGTCGAGGATAATAGGGGGATATGCAAGGGGGGAAGAGAGGATGAGACTAGTGAGAGATAGCCAGCGGTGACCTCCAAATGGCCTCGGGATATGGCCAGCTCGACCTGGGGCGTCTCGTTTCGAACTCTGTGGTTTTGGCGGGCAACTGGGGCCTCCGAGAAGGGCCCTGGCTACTGCGTCCAGAATGTAGTCGGATCGTAAAAACGGCAAAATGGGCGTATAGCCGAGGGGCAATACGAAAAATAATTAGTGCATCGTGGACTAGCTAAAAAATTCCTCCACAACGATCAGAATTTTTTTACGAAATCGACAGGCAAAAAAATTAGATTCTTTCTTCGTGACAAAAAATGTTAAATTAATCAAAAGGGGGATCGAATTTTTTCCTTTTAGTCCAGAAATGCCTAGTAAATTAATAGTCATGATTTTAAGATTAGTTTTTGTAAAATTTTAGTAGATGTGAAGTGAAAAAACAACATAAAAAACGTAGAAAACATTTTTAATCATGGTTTTCATCGAAAATTGTCCATGTTTGGTCGAAAAATCTACATATTTACTGTGTATTAATCAAAATTTGTAACATAGGAATAGTAAAAAACTGGTTAGAAACTAATTTAGAAATACTTCCTCTATTTATACTTATTAGAAAGTTTGCCATTAGAAAAAATTTAGTCCACCCAAAAAATAGGTAAAAACAATTTGGCTAATAAAAATACAGTATAATCTATAATAGTATAATGTTCAAACATAATTATACCCAAAGCCATCCTGCAAAAGCTTTGACCTCAGGTGCGCGCGGATAATGTCAACAATCTGAGGGTCCCGAGGCCCCAAATGGCCCGGTGACCCCGTGGTTGCAGATTCGAATCTGCCACCCACCCAGGGCACCCAGCTGGGCCCTCTCCAGGCATTTGGCCCCTCCTTGCCGGGTTTCTTCTCTCCACCCCGCTACTATACAAATTACCGTTCTGCCCTCGTCTAGTGCCCGGGTGAGCGCGGGCGCGCGCGCCAGGGCCTGCGCAAATATCACCCCAACCGAGCCGAGGTGCGCGCGCGGGGGGCGATTCCGCCACTAAATGGCGCCCCCCTTTTCAATAAACGGAGAGAGAGCGAGAGAGAGAGCGAGAGAGAGAGAGAGAGAGAGCGCAACGGCTCACGGGGG